GTAGGGGGAGGGGAGATTTTGAAGCTTGTGAAATCCACATTGATACCATTGGGCTGCAGGGTTCCCAAGCGGAATATGAGTTGCTGTTCCTGCAACCTTCGGGTGCCATCGTTGTGGCACTGCAGGAGGCCCAGGATGGACATGTCGTCTGAGGAATGAGAAGGGGAGTTGAAATGGTTCGCGACTGGGAGGTGCAGTTGTTTATTGCGAACCGAGCGTAGGCATTCTGCAAAGCGGTCACCAAGCCTCCACTTGGTTTCCCCGATGTAGAGGACGCCACAACAGGTACAGTGGATGCAGTATACCACATTAGCAGATGTGCAGCATCTGCTTGATGTGGAAAGTCTTCTTGGGGCCTGGGATGGGGGTGAGGGAGGAGGTGTGGGGGCAGGTGTAGCACTTCCTGCGGTTGCAGGAAAAAGTGCCGGGTGTGGTGGGGCGGAGAAGGGAGTCACGGAGAGAGTGGTCCCTCCGGAAAGCAGATCAGGGTGGGGAGGGAAAAATGTCTTTGGTGGTGGGGTCGGATTGCAGATGGCGGAAGTGTCGGAGGATGATGCGTTGGATCCGGAGGTTGGTGGGGTGTACGTGAGGATAAGGGGGATTCTTTTTCGGTTGTTATTGCGGGGTCGGGGTGTGAGGGATGAGTTGCAGGAAATGAATTGCAGAAAATTAGACTTGTAGTCTGAGGTCTAAAAGATGGACATTTTGTCACAAACAGTGAAATTAAAATGCAACAAGGTTTGGAAAAGAGGCAAAAGAGAATGTCAATAAGTCATCAGCCCCAAAAGTCATGCTGGAAACAGTTTTGTGTGATGACAGAAAATTCAGCATGCCCACCGTCTGGATGAACAGCATTAATTTGTAAAACACCTCTCGCTCAGACAGATCAATTGGATTATTACGAGTACAATGCATGAGTTTCTTACACTGCAACACTTCAAAGGGCTTCATTTTTTCTAAGGTGTTTTGGGGTATCATATGATCATGAAACATATTCCATAATGAAAGTCTTTTATACATAGTCACATAATTGCTACAGACCAATCAGATTACTAAAAGATGACAAACTCTAAGTATACCAATGGAATAGACAGGAAAAGAGCCAAATTCATTTTGTTATATGTAAACATAATTAAATTTATGACAGCAATAAATTGCTGTGGAACTGACTAAGTTGAATGATGCCCTTTCACCTCCGCAAACAAGATTCAAATCTAGCCCAGACAGCTAAACAAAACTATCCTCATTACTAAGGGTCTAATGAGAATTGAATTCAAGCAGTCCTATCCAGTTTGCAGTTGGCAGAGAAGGAAAAGACATTGTTGAGCCTTCTAGGATTGACTGTTATAGATAGGAGCATGTCTGACAGCAGAACACCAGATTCTCCAAGGGGTCCTCACTCAGGCATCATACTCATCATTTGCCTTTGCATGCAGCCAAATATTTCTTTTAGGCAGTCACTCTGAATGCCTGAGAAATAGCCTGACGATCTTGGCTTGGACATTTTTTAGGTATCCTCAGTGCACAGTATATTGATCCCTGATATTCTGCTTTGTCACAACCTAAATCGGATAGTGATATAGATTTTATAAAATTATCTTATCTGTTAAGGGATTCAATCATCTTTAATTATATTTAGAATTAAATAGCTAATCCACATAATTTTTAAAAAAAAGTTATATATTTGTGCCAAATTTCTTGATGTTTGAGAGTTTGCCTTCTGATTAAGGTATAGGGGAGATGTCAGAGGTAGGTTCTTCACAGAGTGGTGGGTGCGCGGAATGCACTGCCGATGGTGGTAGTGGAGTTAAGATACATTAGGGACATTTAAGAGACTCTTCGTTAGGCACATAGATGATAGTAAAATGTAGGGTAGGCAAGGTAGTTTGATCTTAGAGTAAGATAACAGGTCGGCACAACATCGTGGTCGGAAGGGCCTGTACTGTGCTGTACCGTTCTATGTTCTAATGAGAAAGTGAGATTTGGGATTAATGCCAATAAAGTTGGACATGCTGTTGTAAAGGGCAAAAGCTGCATGTAAAATGATTTGAAGTTTAGAAAATGCAAAATTGCATATTGTGATGAATATTGTATGATTTATGTACATTAATATTGTTATCCCTCATTGGGGTGGCTTAATGGAAATGAAGCTTCGCTATTCCTAGAGTTATCACAAAAGCTAGAGTTTTAAAAAATGCTGAATTCCCCAATTAACTGACTTTCAGATCCACGTTAACACAAAGCATGGACCAAGTTCACGTACTTGACAAGAATAACTAATTATTGAATTAAATAGACTCTAGCAAGAGGCAAATAATTATGAACCTATGGCATACAACTCTAGTAGTTTAAACTTTAATTGACTTATAAATCACCCCCTCCACCCCTTTTTCCCTCTCTTTCTTTCTCTCTCTCTCTCTCACACACACACACAGAGGAAAAATAGTGGAAGTTATAGATAGAAGGAAAACTCGGAAAGCAGTTCAGTGGTTCTTTGTTCACAGGGTCTACTAAGATGGTTCTGATGCTGATCAGAATGCTGCTTCTCTGTCTTCCTTCTCCAGATGCTTTCAATGGTTTTCAAGAGGCATAGATTGGCTGGCTTACACTAAAAAAGGTCTCTGATTATTAATGAAAAGTCATAGTTTATAGCAACTGCTGAAGGAAAAAGTAAATTGGTTTTCTTGAGTCTTAAAGCGGCAGAGAACAGAAAGCTCTTAGGCTGGTGAAGGTCTGATGGCTTCTCACTACCTTGTTCACAGCCCTAAGCTATTCAACTACCTGAGAACCATATTTGTTAGCTGGCAGGGGCTCTTGTCATCAATAACTGGTCACTAGGCCATAGGCTAGTGAGCTACATGTTGCCAACTGAATCTACATTTGTACACACCCCTTGGCTTCAGCTCGTCTACAAACTATACTTCATATTACTGCTTGAACTAGCAGAGTGAGAAAATATTAAGCCATTAGTTTACCAAAATATAGGATGGATAATTTATTTGTAATGTTGTTGAATGTTTTTAAAATCAGTTCGAATGAAAACAGACTAAAATCAGATGCAAGTATAATTTCTCCTGGAAATTGCTCTAAAGAATAAAAGGGAATAAATTAACTCTGGGGAAGCATTTGTTAATCTATACTATGAACTCTGCAGATTGTTAAAAGAATAGAAATGTCTAAAATTTTAGTTGTGTGAATATTCCACGGAAAAGACCTCATAGCTCACTAGTCAGGACCTGAGGAAAAGTATTTATGAAAAGCAGTTACTATAAAGTGATGGTGTTTTGTAAATAGATAGGATTTTGTTTTGCCATGTGTTCAAAACCATCCAAATGGTGTTATATTTAGATAACTTTTGATTTGTTTTGTTTCTATGTGCTTTGTTAATAAACTTCTGTTTTATTGTTAAAACCAAATCTACAGCCTTCTGTCCTTACCTTTTAGTGAGAGATCATTGTTAAACATGATCTATCAAGTCACACTTCATTATGCAATCTGATCTATTAACATCAGTTGTGACCATTACAATGATTTTTACAACTACTAGCTACAATTTTCAGAAATAGGTGCCATAACTGAAGTTATTCTGAACACCATGTCACTGTCAAAGCCTGTCCTTTCTTTGTTGTTGTGCAAGTGGTGAATGGAATTTAATTGTGAAAAGTATGAGTTGGTGAACTTTGGGAGGACTACTAAAGCTAGGGAGCATACATTGAATGGTAGAACCTTAGAAAATACAGAAAAATCAGAGGAACTTTGGTGTGTATGTCCACAGACCCTTGAGGCAGCAAGACTGGTAGATAAGGTTGTTAAGGTGGCATATGGACACTTACCTTTATTAGTCAAGGCAATTAATACAAAAGCATGAAGGTTATGCTAGAACTGTATGCAAGATTAGTTAGGCCACAGCCGAAGTACTATATGCAGTTCCGGTTGCAAGTCTGTAGGAAAGATATGGTTGCACTAGAGTGTGCGCAGAGGAGATTTGTGAGGATGTTGTTTTGGCTGGAGTGTTATCATCTAAGAAGGGAGCCTAGATAGGACAAGGTTATCTTCCTTACAGCAGAAAAGGCTGATGGAGGGGAACCTAACTGAGGTGTATAAAGTTACGAGTGGCATGGAAAGGGAGAAACTTTCCCCCTTTGTAGAGGGATCAATAATTAGGGTGCACATTTTTAAAGTTAGGTGCACAAGGTTTAGGGGAAGTTATCTGGAACGCACAGGCTAAAAGGGTGGTAAAAGCGGAAACCTCTAGATACTTCATCACTGGCCGTTCCTCGCAAACAAGGATTATTCTCTTCCAGTTTGTAGGTGGCTGAAGACATTTAAGAAGTATTTAAATGAGCACTTGAAGCACGATAGATAGAAGGCTATGGGCCAGTGCTGGAAAATTGGATTAGAATAGACAGATGTTTGACGACCAGCACTGATACGATGGGCCAAACTCATTTTTCCATGCTGTACCGAATCTATGAAACGATCATTGATGCCCTTCAGCCTCTAGATGGTGAAGTTGAAGTCGCCATAGTCCCATTACAGACTAATTGTGAGTTTAACCTGACGGTCACTATGACTCGAGTAAGGTCGAGATGGTAGGATCTTCGACAGCAACCTCGCCCACTGCGAGAAATGAACTAGTATTGATAAGCACACGCGGTCCAGCCCCTCAACGCCTCCGAGATGCGAGTGCGCATGTGTACAATAGACAACCTGGGTCTTGGGATCACCCTCATCGATCACGTGGGAGCGGCGCTGAAAGTCGCACCCGGGGCCTGGAGGACAGTGCGCGCGTGCGCAGCATCCGCCCCAGCAACACTCACCGCCCACCCCCGCGGCGCTAGCCCTCCCAGTTCCATCTCACGGGCTGGAGAGTAAGCGGGGGCCGACGGAAGGGGGCGCTATCAGCCTCTCTCGGCTGGGACTGTGGGGCGGGGAATCCGCGCGTGCGCAGCGGTCTGGCCCTCGGGCCGGTCGGGGAGTCGCAGTGAGCGGCGGCTGGCGGAGGGGGCGCTGGTTGGTTGCTGCTGCTGGGTTGCTGGTGGAGCCCGGCGCTTGGGAGGAGGGAGCGGAGCCAGCGATGTTTCCCAGTGTCACTCTCAGGGCTCTTCAGTTCAGCCTCGGGTGAAAATGGCCACCAGGAGAAAAAACGGCAGCGACACAACCCTCCTGACTGCTCTGTCATCCCCTTGCGCCGTCGGTTTGCGGCACTTCACGGGATAAAATACCAGTATTGAGAGAAAAGGAGGAGGGTAAAGGGGGACGGGGAGAAAAAAAAGCACCAACCTTCATCTCTCCTTCGTCCGCTCGGGACAATTATTTTTCCCGGTGAGTTGAATCTTTTTGCTTTTTGAAAAAAAGGAACAATTTCAGCTTATTCAAACAGCCGTGAATTGAAAATAGCAGTATCCCGGAAAGCCTGGCCGAGTGAAGCTAGGCTCCTATTTATCCAGCTTTATTTATTTTCCCTTTCCCCTCCTATTAGATTCCTGGCTGTTTCCGGCGGGGCGGGTTTCCGGTTGCGGGGTTTTAAAAGGAGCCGACATTCGGGTCACTAACGGCACCCTCACTCCCTCCAGACAGCCCGTCCCTCACCTCAAAGCCCCCTCCCGCGGGCGGCGGAAAAAGGGAAAGACGGCCACATCCCCGGCCGGATCCCTAACACCACCTCCTCCATCTCGTTCCCCCACCTCCCCCTCCACTTGGCTCTGGCTTTAGGCCGCTCTCATTCCTCGCTCTCCCACTGGAAACAATCCCAAATTATTGTTAAAAAGACATCTCAACGTAAGCATGAACGATTTCCTCACAGGGGTTTTGGTGATTACAGAAAAGCCGCTTTATTTTCGGGCAGGAGACATCTGTACTAACTTCATGTAATATTGATTTGATGAAATCTCGGCTTCACACCGTTCTGCTGGATCCGTTGCATCCTTAGCAACAGGGTTTTAATCATTACGTTTAAAATGTACCTGCAATTTGCTTAAAATGTCCTTTTTTCTTTAATTTCAATATTACTTGGAAATATCGTGCATTGGAGGGAGCTGTATGAACTTGGATTACTTACTCTCCAGAGTATTTATCGTACCATTGGTGCCAACGTGTGAAACTGCAGTTGTTGGCTTTTCGAGATCTGAGTCAATGAGCCAATTCAAAAGGTTTAACTGCTAGAAAGCAGGCCTTGTTACCCCTAGAGTAACAAATACTGCTGTTCACCATAATAGAATGGTTCATTTAAGGAAGACCAATTATTCAAGAAGTAGCTTTTCTGTTGTTTACAGTCAATTGAAAATCGGTCGGTAATCTGTAATGTATTGGCAGACTTGTGGGGCCAGGATTAATGTATAATTCTGAAAATATCAATAAACATAGCATGTTGTAGGCCAAATCAAACTGTTATAATCAAATCTTGATTTGACTGTTGTGGACCAAATGGGAGCTCAATAGCCCTTCAGTTGGTTATCAACTTTGTCTTCCCCACTTTTTTATTACTATAACACACAGTCTTGCAGGCATCTTTACTTTTATTCAGTAAGAGTTCTTATTGCCTTATGAAGGGCAATGGCACTGTCAATAATGATATCAAAGAGGACAACAGCTGAATTCAATGTTGGATAAAACACATAATTTTGGGAAAAAAATTGTCCTATTGAAATGCTTTGATCCTATTTTGTGTGACTATTAATTGGATTTCACTGCATGTTTGAAACTGTAAATCTGATATGACTAACTTAACAAATATGAGGTTCTTTCATGTTTTGATATCCAACAGTCATTGTTTACGAATGCAACTTACCTGGAGGGCATTCCAAGTTATAGGTTTTATAATTTTTACAATTACCTGATTGAACCCTGACTGATGACATTCTACAACCTTGGGATAATTTTTTTTTAAAAAAAATCTTTAATAGGAGGCTAACCTCCCTAAGGAATTGAAATTTTATTTTTTCAAGCTATCTAGAAATCCCCATTACCAGCTAAATGTGTTCTTAGGGCTCAGGAGTGTATAGAGTCATTGTTCTGCCTTTCTTGGGAGGAGCTTAAATATCACAGGTCGATCTCAAGTGAGAAATCTTGAATGTTGACAGTAAAAGACCGCACCATGTCCAAATAAACAGTTAAAGCTCCAGTCGTACTGTGAAAATAGTCGACTATATCAGAAATGTTGCAAGTGAATTTTTCAAAATTGCACATTTCCCCTTTAGCATTTTGTAATGTCTGTTAATTCCTTGTTTCAGGCCACATTTATATCAATTGATTTATTGTTATTTGAGACTTGTGGTAATTTGCTCAGTGTTATATCTTCAAATAGTGTTACCTAGTGCTGACTGCCAAAATGATATATCATTGTTATTAGGCTTTTAAGTGTTTGGAGAAACATTGGATCTGAGACAGGTTCGCATCACTTTTAAATTGACAAGTCTCCCCTTTGAAGCCTCAAGGTATGCAACGATGCTTTACAACTTGCTAATGCATACCTTCTTTGGAAAGTTGATTACGACAGTTTTCTGGAAACTTGTTCTTCTTGGTCGTGTGGTCCGCTAGAAAATGCTAATATTGAATACCCTAAAGTTTCACAACCAGATGGTGGTCAAGTCACTTAAGAGCTGAAGGGGGTGGGTTAGACATCAAAGTAATGGGGCATGTACAAGCTGGGAAAAAAAAATTCCTTCCTATCCGCTTGTTGGAAATTATTTTGTCAGTAAGAAATTCTTTGGCAATTATTACTTTCGAAAGTGGTCTGGAAATATATTTAAACATGGAAATAAAATATGACTGATTTATATTTTGTGAAATATGGAGTAGAGGGAATGACTAAGGATGCCATTTTATTAAAAAGTGTGGTCTCTGAAATTTTACTCTAATTTTCTCCTTGGTCTGCTTGAGGTATTATGTCTTGGGTAGCTATTCAGATGTAATCTTTGATACATGTCAATGAATTATTTGACAAACTGAACCTGCAACTACCTTGAATGAAATCTGATAAAGGAACATTGAATTTTGGATGTTCTAAGTTTATACAATGGACCTACTCACTACATAAACTCAGAAATAACAGGAGGAGACAAATTGAAACTAATATGGCATACTAATGATTTCCTAGAATCTATCATTTAATTTTGAAAGGAGTTTGGTAGGTTTAGTCCTGTCTAAATGAATAGTGTTTGGAAAATTTGTTCAGACATCTACTTTTTGTTTTGTTTTAATACTACTGGACCAAGAAGTTGATCATTATATTTTACTTTGACTCATTCAGTTTAAGACAAAACTAATACAACTTTCATATAGTTGTCGTTGAAGTTGGGTTGTGCTAGAGTGATTCAGCTTGCTTCCTGATTAGTTAATGTGAAACATCTGGAGTAATTTAAGAAGTCTTGGGGTGGTGTTTTATAGATTTTCTTGGAAGAATAAACCAGATGGGCTGAATAACTTTCCTAACATGCTTTCCCAGCTGTTAGTTTACCTCTGAATTACTTTGCTGACTGTGCCATGGGATGTTGTCTTTTAAGTTTCCTCCCAAAAATCTGTTTTTCTCTCAGTTTTTAAGATCTTAAAAACTATTTCTAACCACATTTCTAATTGCCTTTCCTAATACCTCTGCCTTTGACTGAGTGTCATTGTTAATGTTCATGCTTCTCTAAATATACATCTGCATTAAAGATGATGTATAAATCATTAATAATGGTCCTAGGACTGACCTATGACTCAACTGTTACAGTTTTAAATGTTATTACTGTATATCTGTTTAGATAAATATTATGGTCAACATAATGTGGAGTGAGGAAAATTCAGCAGTAACCTCTTAGATATAGTGAATTGGCCATTGTTGTGTTCAGCACAAATTAAATCAAGATGCCGCATTACAGATGCTCATTTTTGGCAGTTTTCTGCTGATGTGCTCGGAGTTGTGCATATTTCCAATTTTTTACGAGAAATTAGTTCAGATGGGATTTTTGTTATTTAGGAGCTCTTCCTCCTTGTGTTTAGAGGCGGATAAATTTTTCTGTATTTCCATTAATATTGCTTTGAAATTGGCAACAAATTCCACATTTAATATTTGTTGACAACATGCTTAAAAAAGGTGGGGCTGTGGTCTCTGGAGATTGAGAATTAACAAAAGAGGTAGCATCCATTGGTGTTTCTATAGATAGCACTACTTTCAATTTCAACACGAGCAGAAACTGGGTTATTCTAGGTGGAGCCAGTCATGTTTATTGTCTGCCAGGGAATGAGTGGTGACACCTGCTAAAATAAATTGGCAGATCCATTTTATGTTCACTAGTGTGCACAAATATTTCCCCAGCCAAGTATGAGCAATTGTTTTTCTTTTCTAGCTGCTATAAAATGGGATGTGTACTATAAATATGACAGTGTGCTCTGAGGTATTGCTTCAGAAGTGTTCCAAAGACTTTTAAAATACATAACAGTAAGACCAGGCTGAGATAAAGTTCCCCTTGTGGGCAAATATATTTATTCCATTTGACATTATTCTGGAGTGGCACTAATTTGAACTTGGTGTGAATAATTGTTTCCATTGTTTTTCTTTCTCCCGTTTGAACTAAAACCCAAAATACCCTAATAACATAAATTGCTGGAGAAACTCAGCAGGTCTGGCGGCATTGCTGAAGAAAGAAACAGTTAACATTTAGGGTCAGTGACCCTTAGAAGGGGTTTTTGTTATTTTAAATCTACAGCATCTGCAGTTTTAGTTCTGAAGGGTTACTGGACTTTGAACATTGACTCTTGTTTCTCTCTCCAGAGATGTTTCTATTTGTTTCTGATTTTCAGCATCTGCAGTTCTTAAATGCTCGAGCAGTTCAAGGCCCTGAAAGTTTATTTCCCTCAAATGCCCATCCAAATTCCTCTTGAAATCATCACCTCGTCGTCAGTGATACCACTTGTGTAGATAAGTTTTTCCTCACATTCCCCTCCTTGCATCTCCTGCCTAAAATGCTAAATCTTTCTCCCCCTTGTCTTTGTACCATCAGCAACTGGGACTGGTTCTTTTTAGCCTTGTCACCTCAACTAAATTTTCCCCTCAACCTCCTTTTCTCTAAGGAGAACACCACCAACTTCTGACCTAATCTTTCTTTTATTCTTTCATGGGATGTGCGCATCGCTGGCTGGGCCAATATTTATTGCCCCTTGAGAAGATGGTGACGATCTGTTTCTTGAACCAATGCAGTCCTTGTACTGTCAATAGACAAAATGCTTTTAGGAAGGGAATTGCAGGATTTTGACCCATGGATACTGAAGGAAAGGTGATGTATGTCCAAGTTAGGATGGTGAGTGGCTTCGAGGGGAACTTGCAGGTGGTGGTGCTCCTATGT